TGAACATTCAAGAGTTGCCAAATTTCCTTCGATACAATGTTTATTTTAGAAGAAAATTATGAATATTTTTCCTTGAAAGTTTCAGGGACTTTAGATCAAATTACATACAAAATTATCATGAGAAATTGGTAGATAAACAACTAAACACTTTCTTGAAAATTAGTGAATTGCCAGGGGGAAATTTGGCAACGCCTTGTGAGCCGTTCGGATGTTGCCAAATTTCATTTAATGCTATATGAATTTTCAGGAGAATCTGTGAATATTTTTCCTCCAATTTTTCAGGGATTTTTTTCACAAGCAGATCTAAATTACCCACAAGTTTCAAGGGATATCATTCATAACTTTCTTCAAAATTCAACATTTCACCGGAGGAAGTTTGGCAACTCTCGAATGTTCACACAACGTTTTTTTCTTAGCACGGCAGAGCGATGCACCAAAAATTGGCAATCCTGAGCACCGGATCATGACGAGGGCACGTGAACGTAATGAGAACGTAACCGGTGGAAGGCGTGAGCGGGGGGGGGGGTTGAAGCCGCGGAAAAGGTATCAAATTCGGAGAAATCCAAAATAGGAGGGTATGAATATTTAACGGTCTGACTCGTTTAGAAATATAATTCTTCCCAGAGCCACTATTACCGGATCACGGTGGCAAGGTGCAGGCCAGCAAATTGGCTAAAATATTCGTCGCGTGATAAAGCAAGGCTGGCTCCTCGGATAAGGTGATTTCGCGATAGTGCATTGCCGTGCTCTGCCATGTTACCAGTGGCGTGGCGTGAATTGCGATACATCGATTTTTATGCCATTTAAACCTAGGATAAAGAATCGGTTATTAAGGTGTTCGCTGCGAACACCCTGTTAATCGATCCTTTTCCATAGGTTTAAATGGCATAACAATCGATACATCGCAAAACACGCCACGCCACTGCATGTTACGGAAGAGTGCCGGAGGTGGAGTCTGGGATGAGCCTCGATACACATAAGAGCATGTGCTAACAATGGCTCATACAGGAATGCACTTAAGATTCTTTTCCCCAGTGCTGGGAAGGAACGCCATGCGAGCATTTAAATGGACTACATTTTGTGATAGGGAGCTTTTATTTCCGACTCATTCTAAAAACAACGTGCGTGCCATCAGTTTCCATGTGACGGTAGGTGTTTTTTGTATGAGTAAATAAAGTGGACGGAGTTCTGCCGAACGGAACCATGTGCATTATGACGCGAGCCCTGATACACATATATTCTTATTGGTCTCAGGGCTCATGTCTCAATGCACATAGGTTCCGTTTGGCAGAAATACGTCCAAGTAGCAGTTACCTCTCGCAAAATACAGGTCCAATAATGTGACTGTTGCAAATTTCGGCTAGAGCAAAATGAAGAAATGTTTCTTTTGAGTAATGGCTCAAAAATCACGATGAGCGCATCGAGAAAGTCTGAAATACGCTCCTAACTTCACAATCTGCGTAAGAAATATGTGATTGTAATGCTTCCCGCTTCAAAAACAATATTACGGCACAGGGGAACCTATCGCACCAGGAGAATTTTAGGCTTCTATAACTGAAAATTTTACTTATTTTTCTTATGATATCCTGCTAGACAAATTAAAAAAAAAAAAAAAAAAAAAAAAAAAAAAAAAAAAAAAAAAAAATGCGGAAGTCCACTCTTGTAAACGAATATTTCTTCGAGCCAATTTTAGAACCTCAGAATGACGTTATACTTCTTCGTTCGGGAAACAACAAAATGCTATTTTTCTTTGAATTTTAGTTAGTATTGTTATTTTTTCATAACTTTCCTATGTTTCTCCGAACATCATCTACTGATTATCTTTGACTGTAATGTTAATTCTTAGTTTATTGTATTTAGACGTCAAAATTCTTTCAAAAGATCAATTTGTTGAAAGTATTTGGCGCGTCAAATAATGCCAAATTATCTGTTATAGCTGTGCCACATTGCACTTATCTCTAATTTAATTTAGTTCAATTTTAAACTTTAGTATCCTTCTGCTCGAGACCGTCACGTATCATCTACATTTCATCATCATGATTATAATCCAGACGGTAATAAACGCTCAATGAGCATCCTCATAATAACCTTTACTTCCGATTTGAGCCGTCTACAAATGCAAGGAAGGAAGGATGGAGCGCAGCGTGAATGTCCACTAACGAAGACGTGAGAAGGTTGAAACAACTAATAATCCGTCTTTTGTATTCAATTGATTCATCCCGAGGAGCGAAACTTCTTCGTTATCCGATTTATTGAATATTTGAGAGGGATCGAGAAGTGACCCTGATTAGAGAAACAGGGATGTCAATTTTAAGTTCCAGAGGTATTTACCGCACGCTCATTGCGAGTTACTTTGCAAAAAGTGTCGCCTCTCTGACATAAGGGCGTATTTCAGTTTCTACTTTGTACCTGGAGGATAAAAACTTTACTATTTTATGTAGAATTTTCCGAATTGGGAATTTGCACAAATTGTTTTTATTGCCGCATCAAAGAGTGCTTTATGAGCTGTGTCTTTAATGATTTTTTTCGACATGCGGGAAATTGTAGAAACATACTTTTTAAAAGTGAGAAAATCAGCCGCCTTGCAACGTCATCTAGCGGCATCTCCCGTTTAAACACTTATGCATTTTGACAGATTAGGTAATGTGGTCATATCTCTTCTATCAAGGGAACACTAGACAAGGCACGAATTTAAGCATTCTGATACACATTTCCTGGTCAGAATTTCACGATTTGCACAACGAAAATTACTGAAACCAACTCCTGACGAGGATATTAACGTTATTATTTCACATTGGTTACGAGGAATTTGAACTGTCCGCTCACAGGAAACTCAAGGCTCTACGTGAATCAAATCGCGCACTACAACGGTTTCAGCAAGCTTCTCAGTCGAGCAATGTTCATGTCCCATCATGTGTTGTTCAAACTATAAGCAATTTGCTATAGCTGAGCCAAAGCGTCAAGATTGAGATTGCCAGGCTTGTATATCGTAGAGACTGTCATTATAACGTTTAGCGTGCTATGTGACTCACGAGTAGCATTGCGTTTTCATGAGCGGGTGGTTTGAATTCACGCATCAAGAATCATTAAATATCTTCGTAGGGAGTAAATTTCGGTAATTTTCGTTGTGCAGATCGTGTTCTACGTGAAATTTTGGTTAGGACACATGCATCAGAATGCTAAAATTCGTACCTTGTCTAGTGGTCGATTGTTCATTTTAGAAACCAAGCATAACGCTCAGTCCACTCAGTAGTTTCTTTCTAAACATAAAATTCAAAAAAAATTCAGACACCTGCGAATTCTCAATTCCGCCGAGTTTCAAGCTTAGCTCACGTTTGCCGCGGGGGCAAAATTCGGCATCCTCGCAGTCGAGTTCGAAAATCGCGAGGGGTAGAGGAGACAGGGGGATTATCTCTCTCCCCCACCGCCGACCCTGGTTTAGCGACACTAATTCTAACCCGAGGGTGCAAATTAGTCTTTACCCACCCCTCCGGCCCGACCACCAACCCTGCCCCGCCTGAGCGTGGAACCAGAAAAGCTATTTGGGACAACGCTGCCGTCGAGTATTCGCCTATGAGTAGACTGGAGATGTCAGTTTACCATTGTTTGCGTAATGAGTTGTTTCGGCCGCTCGGCGAGACGAAGGCTGGCAACTTGGCCTCACTCGGATTCGCGCACATTCATCAATGCCACGGCTCCTTTTGGCGAATGCATCCACTGGACCCGGTTGCCATTTGTTACACTAATTAAGGTCCGCTACTCCCGTCCGAAGCAGAACCACCGTAACTCAATTACATACGTATTTTCCGTATTTCTTGAATATTACTTGAACGTATTTCGTCGCAGGCAAATGGTAAAATCAGGCGTTTTGTCAAATGCCTGGGCAAATAGTAAAATATTCTAACGTAGATTGAAATTCTGATTCTTTTCCTAATTTTAGAAAAAATAATAAATTGCAGATCTAATTTGTTGGATGATATGGAAAATTCCGATTAATTTTGGTAGTACCGCAAAACTTGGGTTTGTAACCTACTTCATTGGGGCACTGCCACAAATAATTGGATGTGACCACACCATCCATCAACATTGGCGGATCCAGCAAATTGGCAACATTCATTTTTTCCATTTAAACCTATAGAAATGTATCGATTCTTAAAGGGGCCAGGTGCTCCGACAAGAATCGATTATTTAACATAGGTTTAGATAGAGGAAATCCTGTGTTACCAAATTGCTGGATCCACCCCTGTCCATCAACCCCGAAATCTTTGATTCCGTGTTTTCTTTTATTGGAGTAAACATGATATGAATTTAGGCAACCCGTGATGCCGCAGATAGGCTGGTTTTGGGTTGAATCCATCCACTTTAAGGTTTATCTACAGCTGCGTGAAGTAAGAAATTTCTCCGCGCAGGGGGCGCCACCGCTGTGTTTTAGAGTCCGTACAGCTCCACGTGAGTCCTTGAGCTTTTATAAAAGTTGAAGGAATTTCTGTTTAAATCGAAGAGTTATAAGTTCTAGCCATAACATTCTTCTTCCTATTGACCCTAAAAACAACGTGAAAAGTCATTTCTGAAGCTCTGCAATTTGATCCCAGAAAAAAGTAGGGTTAAGCATGATGACCTTGATGCAACCAATCGCGCTTGATCGCTCTCAGCAGTTGGCAGATATCTCTCTCCCACCGTGAGCTGTCTCTCTCGCACTTACAGATATCCCGTAAGAGAAACTGGGATCAATTTACAGCTTTTATATTAGACTTTCAAAGCTCGCGTTTGTTTCTAAGGATTCCAGACGTATGCTGCTAGAACTTATGAGTCTTAGAATTTAAGATACCTATTGTGATATTTAAATAATCACTGATTTCGGAGTCGGATTTTAGCAGCGCGACGTGGTGGATTTTTTCGGAACTACAGCTGAAGATTAACCTTAAGTTGGATTGATGAGTTGGGAAAATAAATTTGGCTGAGCGGGTGCGTGCGTGGATTAGTAGAGAGAGGGGGCTTACCTGGATTTACGGCGTCCACTGCCATTAGGATAATGCACTTCAAGAGCAGCAACGCCGCAGACGTCTGCAACAGAAATGGAACTGAATTAAAATTTAGACCCCACCGCTGTGAACTACAATCGGCTAGGCTTAAGCGAAAAAGCACTCTATTTCTCAACGATTGAAATTCCATCGTCAGCGTGCGTATCGACGGTGAAACTGCACAAACGCGTTTTAGGGTGTCCGTAATTTCTTCATTCTCTGATTTTCTAACTTTCTCCTGACTTAAAAAATTCAAAATTTCCGGAATTTTTCCTGCATGACTTTCGAGCAGAACTCCCTCTTGGAACTCTTCATTTTCATTGTGCTGATTTTCGCTCAACTTTGGACAAAATTTCCACCTTTACACTGTTAAAAATTGTGGAGTGAAATCCTGAGCCCAGTTTAGTTTACATTGAATCCGCGGAATCTCCATAGCTCTGTGTCCACTCGTCAATATGGCGTTAAAATGGAAGCTCAAAGTGAATCGAAAAATACGATCTGTTCGCGATTGTTGACCAAAAGAGAGTCGCGCCGCTCTAATTTGAGTTGCAACACTCATCAATCGCATCAAGTCCCGACTTTCAGCCACTTATCGTTGAAATTGATTCACTTTGAGTTTCCATTTTGACGAGTAGAGACAGCGCTTATCACCTGAGACCCCATGAAAAAATCAATTTAATGAGATGATCCATAGAAATGAAAAGTCTTTTTCTCTCGAAAGCCTAGCAGAGTCTTAGGCTCCGTGAGGGAAAATGAATTCGAAGAGGGTTGGGAGATTGGCATTTGACAAGAACAAAGTTTGGGAACGGCTTTTCCTCGCGGCGAGTACTGGCGACACGAAACGCGAGCGACACCTAAAAATGCCTGTTCACCACTGAGACCGAACCAATCGGAAGAGAGCAACTTTTCGGTTCGTTTTGAGTCGGAGCGCTGACATCCTGCTGGAAATAACTTCCGATCAAATCTCCTCCCTCGTCATACATTTAAGCTAGTATTAATTGAAAAGTTTCATCGAAACCTGCCTTTCCGTCCGCGCTCAAGCGATACAGTTTTTGCCCCCCCCCCCTCCCTCCCCCTCTCGTAGCCGATCCATCGACGAGAGTTCGAAGGGGAGGGGATGGGGGTGATGCGAAAGCGATAACCAATTGAAAGAAGCGGTTTACTCGTAAAAGTAATTTTACTGTAAAGCTAACGGACCTATCGAATTTAATTGATTGGTTTTCGGTTTATGAAACCTGGTGGCAACAATATACGGAAGTAACACGAGGACAGAGTTTGATAAAAACGCACCGAGTAGCAGGATTTCGACCGTAGAGGAAGGAGTTTAAAGTTGTACACCTCCGTAAGATTCAATGTTAAGGGCGACGTTTGACGACTATTTTCTGTTCAAAAATACAGTCGCAACCCAGGGTGTTTAGCAATTTCAGAAAAAAATTTCCCCGACGTTTCCCTGATTTCCCCGACTAAAACTGTCAAAAAATCGAGAAAAGTTTCAAATTCCCGACGGACGGAAAAAAAATCCCGACATTTCTCTGTCAAAAAGGGGAAATATTCCTAATTTTTCGCACAGTTGAACTGAATTGATGTAAGCAAGAATTTTTTCATGTTTTAGGAATATAATGCAATAATTAGAGCAAAATACATGGTGTCTAAAATTGTGCGAGGTATTTTTGCTTCATTTTTAAAATTTAATAAACACCAACAGAAATTCTGGTAAGAATTTTGGTAGAAATCTTTGTAAGAGTAGAATTCGCGAAACGTTTTCCGAAAAATTCGTGTTTATTTATTTCCCTGCCGATTCCATGAAACGAAAATCGCTTGCAAAATTAGAATCTCTGACATTCCGAATCCTTCATTTCGCTGGCACAAAAATATTCTCTGAAACTTCCACATTTCCCGGTCGCTAGACACCCTGCAACCGAATACATCGAGTTCTGAACTTGACTTGACTATTGGAAGCAACCGATGAAAGAAAAGGATACTACCCGGTGTATAACACGAAGAAAATGCCCCTTATGAACACTAGAGCGTTGTTAATTTCCTTTGGTAAAAATATATCTATGTTTAAGGAAGGTATGAAAATCATCCGCCCAAAGTTTCAGATAATTCAGCTCAAATTACGAATGAAATTATCTGAAAAATCAAAAGCAAAATATTCGCACGTCTCTCAGAAAATTCATCTTTCATCGAACGAAATCTGCCAATGTTCGAAGGCTGTTACATTGCTTTTCCTCAAGGCGCACAGTGGATTGAGTCAATAGGAGAGGTAGGACAAAATTTGGAAACTTTAAAAGCTTACAACTCCATCCGTTAATACAAAATTTTAAGGTTCCAGAAGTGGTTCCATTGGTTTCCTCGTGAAATTTACAGTTGGAGGTACTCCTTAAAATTTAAAATGTGACGAAATAAACATCGAAATTTCCAGTATCAGTAAAAATTGTAAGTCCGACCTCTCTGATTGACTCAGCCCACTGTGAGGTGGCAGCATCGGCATTGCCTGGAGAAGTTACGTAAGCTCGGAGATCATGAAATAATAATTTTGCGATTTCAAAGGATCCTTGTTCCTGTCTGGCTAATAGAAATGTTGCGTCTTAATTATAATAAGAACTTGTGGAAAGGGGTAAAGGATCATAATATGATGTTAGTGCCTCCACCATTGCTCGGCCGTCATGCCGCTCCGTTATCCTTATTATCCGCCGGCTAAGGGTTCTATTTTAATTCCAAGTTTTTATGCGTTTACTTCGCTCCAACTTTTATTATCCCTTCGGGAGCATTGTAACTTACCCTCCACATTTTATTTAATTCCTTTATGCCGGAGGATTCCAGATTGAATCTCACGATTCTCCGAGCTCTCGTTTCTTGGAAGACTTGCCACCCCACTCAACTGCAATATGGCCGTCTTAATTCTTTGTTTCTACACGATTTAAACGGGATCACCAGTTGTATATCCACTGAGAGAACTGTTTTATGTATAATAGCAATTAGTACCCAACGCGACGATAAGATGCTAAGTTTGTCTTTGAAATTTATGTAAATGTTTGAGACCGTTTCCTTGCGGTCAACACACTGAGATTACTGCACGACCAGTCAAAATTAGGGGGCTTAGCCCCCTGAGGACACTTTGCGCCCTCTAAGGCCCGCCTCACGGGCTTTTGTGACTAAATTTGTATACAGTGGGATTATCTAATGACCATATCCCATTAGTAGCCGCAAGCACCATGAAAATCAACCCGGTTGGTCTTCCGAACAAAATTTGACAAAAAATGAACATTTATATTGTCTAAATGGACTGTCAAATTTGAGATTTCCGAATTTGAATCGGCCCAGTTGATCACTCACAATCAGCTGAACTTTGACAAAAAATAAAAATTAACATTGCTTAGATGGGAGAATTTGCACATTTACCGCGCAATATACAAAAATGTGGGTCATACTTCCAAAATCCCGCTCATATTTTTAATCATTATTTATATTCATGTAAAAACAATTAATACTCAGTAGTTTTGTTAATTAATAAAATATAGAAAACACCTTCCAAAATCTTATTAAAACGCGCTTATCTCAAAACAATTACCTGTCGATAGGCGCAAAAATCACGAAAGTAGGCCTGATCGAACACCAGAACTAAGCGCTACCAAAAATGAAAATTTAGGAGGCTTAAGAGCTTATAGTATAAAAGAGAGAGAAAGAGAATCAACAAGTATGATTTTTTCTCCTTTTTTTTCTCCAATATGTTTCCTACTTCACTTTCTTGTGTACTTTTTACCTAAGAGCTAGAAAAGTAATTCTGTTTAACTTAATTTCTTGTGCCTTACGTCCAATGATTGCTTTCAAGTCAATAAATCTGATAAACTACAACCGCGTTTATAAGTAATCGTGTCTCATAGAAAATCCATTTTCACATTTGAATCGTGAACAAGAGCAAATGAATTTTCGAAACAGCTCAAGTTACGGACTGCGGGCTGATTATTGAAATTGATAGACAAAGCAACAGACAAAGAAGACAAAAAGGATTTGGAGGGGTCCTATTGGTAGAAGCGTTTTGTTGCAATGGACAACGGAGGTAGGTAGTAGACTAACTAACGGCAACCCACGAGAGACCCGACAGTTAGTCCATCATTTTCCCCCTTAGTCTATGATGAGAACCACCCATTACAACCAATAGGATTGCTTTATACCCCCTAGGTCTTCTTTGTCTATAGATTTGTCTATCAATTTCAATAATCGGCCCGCTGCACCCTGTAAATAGTCCGAGAACAGAGGAAAACGCTTGAGCTCGCCGCCTTTTGACTTGACGAAGAGCTCTAATGTAAAAGGGAAGTCAAAATGAACAGAGATGTCCGGCCCTCTCTTATTCTGGAACAAATTCCTCGGACCTCGGCATCAGGAGTGCTCCCCGGGGTAAAATAAGAACCGCCTCTTTGGATCAATAGAGAATTCTAATTGATTTGAATTAGTAGTCAGAGCGCGAGACGAGTAGCAGTCGTAAAAACCTCCAACTTGAGAAATAAACGATAATGGAATCGACGGGTCCATTCAGGGATACTCGGGCCCTGGCCGTCCTTTTAACGTTTCCTTGTTTCTTATCAGGGTTTCTCAAATGCACGAGAATGGACCATTGGACAAGGTGCAGACTTATACGTAGTGTTCACTCATCAAAATTTCACGAAGAATGCGAGTTGTAACCTATTACCTTAAACCTAACCTTAACCTTAACCTATTACTCCCGAAAAACTAGAGTTATATGGGTACGGAGCAGGATCTTACTCTTTTTGCGGATTAACTGCGATCTTAGTCCAGAGGTAGATCCAGCAATTTGACAACTATGGCTTTTCTTAAGATAAACCTGTGCTGAAAAATAGATTCTTGTCTGAGCTCCTACTCCTCCGAGAATCGAAACATTTCCATAGGTTTCAATGGAGAAAAAAAACTAAGTTGCCAATTTGCTGGATTCGTCAATGGTTCTTACGGAGCGGATGTCATTTTCTGTTCCTAGAGGCGGATCCAGCAATTTGGCAACACTGGATTTCCTCCATTTAAACT